TTCTCTATCACAGCCTAATATTTTCTTCAGAAGCACATTTCAAAATCTGTGGTTGTTGTGGTTGCCAGCTGATTGTCTGCCTCCCCACTTGACCGGAAACTCTGAGAGAGTGGGGGCCACATATGCCTTCTTCACTGCTGTATCCCCAGTGCCAAGAACAATGCCTTGCACACAAGAGGTACCAGTAAATATTTTTTAGATAGACCGGTGAGTGGCTAGAGCAAGCGCTTGTTGATGTTTCTCCCACGTTTCCGCATTGTTGTTGGGCATGTTGACAGTATCCTACCACATGTACACGCTACTACCCAGCGGAGGGCTGTCTCTCAGCCCAAGTGCAAGGCAGGCTACAAGTGATGGGGAATTAATGCTTCCAGAAGCAGCCCTGAGTCAATAACAGGTGAGAGTTGGAGGATTAATAACACCGCTCCCTCACCCCTCAGAAGGGATAGCCAACTCTAAGTTGTGTTCTGCACCGTCTCCCAGAGCTCCCCATCAGGACTGAACTCCAGTTTCCCACTTGAGTAACCTGTTCAATGACACATCCTTTATTGTCTTCCTTCCCTTCCCTGTTTCACTCCCTCACTCCCCTACTGGTGCTTCTTGGGATCACCACCCAGATAAACTACTTGCTCTTCAAATCCTTGTTTCAGAACTGACTTTTAGGGGAACTCATCCTAAGACCTTATGGTGCCGTGTCCCTGCTAGCCATAACACATAGGGCCAGGAACCAAGGGGTGGAAGTAGAAATGGCCCCTCTCACCATCACTCCCAGGGGCCCACCTCAGGAATTTGTGCTTCCTGTCCCCATAATTTTAGGCTCTGCTGGACTAAAGATGCTGGTTCTGGGGCAGGGAGTGGGAGGAATGCTTCCACCAGGGAATACAGTAAAGATTTTCCTAAACCTAAACTTACAGCTGCTGTGTGATCATTTTTGGCTCTTCATGCCAGTAGACCAGCAGGTAAAGAAAGGTCAATTACTATCAGTGATTATTGACCTTGATTAGCATGAGGAGCTAAGATCACTGCCCCCTAATGTGGACAGGAAGGAGTACATCTAGAACTTAGGGTATTCACTGGGGTGCCATCAAGGAATCCTTGGTGCTTCTGCCTGGTGGTAATCATAAACGGGCAATTACAGCAACCGTGGCCTGACAAGGGCATGGTAACTAAGGGTTCAGAACTTTCAAGAATGAAAGTCTAAGTTACTTCACCAGCAAAGCAACCTGGACCAGCTGAAGTGCTGGCCAAGGATGAGGGGAATCTAAAATTGATTAGAGGAAGGAGATGATAAATATCATTTGTGGCTTCAGGGCCAATACCAGCAGTGTGGA